TCCCCCCTTCCCCCCTCCCCTAGGCCCGCTCCCGCCCACACCCGAGGTGCCACCCACATCCCGTTCAACGTCCCTAAAAAAGCGCCTACGCATGCTGAGCGCACCTGTTCCCCCGCCGCCGGTATCGGCGCTCCCCCAACGCCCCCCTTCGCCCGCGCCGTCCACGATCAACCTATATACCACCCCGTCGACGCCCATTGGCGAGCCCATCACGACGCTACAAAACGACCCCATGTTCCTCCTCTCCACGCCCCCCACCCCGCCTCTCCCGCTGGCCTCAATGGTGCCCCCGCCCCTGCCCGAGTCCACATCCGACTGGCAGGGTGTCACATCGTTGTCGCCCCCGCCCCGCCGCGGCTCGCGCCGCATCTCCGCGCAGGAGCGCGAGAGCCTCGAGTCCACGCGCCCCACGCCAGACGCCGCCGGTCCGGACGTCCAGCCTGCCCGTTTGTCTATCTCGCTTTCGCCCTCTACGTCCGCTGTGTCTCTGCTGGTAGATATGTAGCGCACACCGTACATCGTTTTCTTAATATTTGTCACTGCTGTAATGTTTTGCTTCTTGTCGCTACTTTTTTAGGTAGTCCTCCGCTTCATCTGTCTTTCTTCAGCTGCTCAGTTCTAGTGCGCAAGTGTACAATATCATCGTTCATTGGTATTACAGGATGTCATTATATTGTCACTCATACAGTTCATCAAAGCAATACGACAAATATCAGGATATACGGGATTACGCAAAGCTATTTTCTACATCAGCGCTGTCGTCTCCGACCTCAAGGTTGGCAAACTGGAGAGAATGACGTCAGCTATGAGTTTTCTTTGACACTGATTAAGTCCTCACCGAAAGGAATGCTGCGGGTCGATGTTCCTCTGCCCAGAAAAGCAGCGGAGTGTCCAATGTCATCGAATAGTTGATGGATGGAGCCCACAGCTGCGTCAAACCAATACCGTAATTCCACACTCGCCCCTCGGGGACTAGCGTCATCGCGAGGATCCGATCTGACAGCAACAGCTGCACCCGCTCGGACATGTTAGGGTTGAAACCCTAACAATGCTGTAAGCCTGGCAGACACATCCAGACAGACAAACACTTACTGGTGGATTAGGCGAGGTGTCGGCATTCTTCCGACCCCATTCAAAACCGGCAACACTAAGTGAGTGAGCAGACAGAGACACGGAGCCAGGAGTGAAAGCACATGTCAAGCAAATCGACGATGAACCCCATTCCGGATGGTCTGCCATTAGCCTTCCGTGAGTCGACACGTCCGTCGGCGACAAGTGGGAAAGCTCCAAGGCTTGCGTCTTGATCCAGCCGAGAGGTTCTAGATCCTTCAGCAAGAAATCGTCCTTGGGAAGCTGCGCTGGCAACTCGACGCTGTTGTTGTTGCCCCGCTGCGGAACCCAAGCGACGGCCTGTAACGCGATATATGAGCACAAGCAGCAAACGACAATCCGCCATGTCCATACCTTGATTTCCTTGACTTGCTTGTTGTCAGGTGGGGACGCACCATACAAGAAGGCAGCAACCTGGGTGCGCAAGTCGGCGGCAGTGATGAATGCACGCAGAATATTCTTCGGCAACACGTAAGTGTACGAGCCCGCATCGTCCCTGACATCGTCATTCGAGACATAGATATGTTGCAGTCGAAGAGGGAGATGTGTTGCTGATATGGCACGGACACGCCAGTCTGACTTGCTACTGAACACTTGCTGTTCGTAATTCGTGGCTGTTTGAAATGATTGTCAATTCCCCCGAGACTGTTCAGATCATCTGCACTTACTAGTCACGGTCTGGATTGCGTCACCATGGATATTCGTCGTTTGACTGAAGGAGGGTTGAATTCAATGAATGTTTGTCTAAAGCATGAATTGAAAACTCACGTTTGTACGGCAGTAACCTGGCTCTGAGCTTCGGAGCTCTTCTCCAACTCGGCCATCTGTTGACGTTGTACCGATGGCGCAGCAATTTCCTGTCCCAAAATGATATCCCTAATCTCACTAGACGTTAAAGACGCAATGTTGACGCTGTTGCGCTTCCCGAAATCCTGAAATCAAATGAATCAGCAGAAGTATAGAGCGTGGTCACTGTCAAACTTACAGCCAGAATCAAATCCTTCAATGCAACTTCCACTTTGATCCACTCTTCATCACTCAGCGACGGCCAGACGAAGTGGGGTTCAGTGATAGTGTTTTTGTCTGGGCGAAGAACAATCTTGGCCTTCTCGTTGTTCACGTGGAGGCCACGAAGCAGGAGGATGAGACGAGAGAAGGCGGTGTAACTAGATATGGACTTGAGCCAATCATCTATAGCAATCATGTCAGAGTATGATCACTCTAATGTGAAGTCTTCCTTACCATACAGGTTGAAAAGCACCATTTGAGGTTGAGTCGCACGCTACGAACACAGTCAGTATATTATGAAATCAGGCGTGATAGTAAGCGCTACCAGAATGAGATCACCAAACTTCTCCATTTTCATGCAAGCCTGGAACGGCAGCTGAAGTTCACTACCCTTAATGACGATGTTCGGGAAGTCCAACAAGTGAACCTCGAGAGGATCTGTTCGTCTCACATTACCAACCGCCAAAATATACATAACAACTTTGCACATACCCAACATGCCCTTACGAGTGACGATGACCTGTTTCGGCTGCTCTTCGACAGGTAAGGAACGGACAAGCGCGGCAACTTCTTCTGCAGTCTTCCACTTTGCAAGCTGTCCAAGACGCTTTTGACCGGCCCACACGCTAGTGTGAATGATTTTCAAAAAGAGCTGGCCAGATCGAGGATTAAAGATGAAGATGGCGCCGTCTAAAAAGGTATAGAAATTAATAATAGATTAATATCAAACGGCCAACACGTACTGATGGGCTTAGTGGTCAAGTTACCCTCAAACGTCTTATGGCTACAAGACAGTCAGTGTCATTACAGATCAACTCAGCGGAAACACTCACATCGTGACACGGTAGACATTAGTATCATCAACAAACCCTGTGTAAAGCGGAAACGGTAAGCCCTATCACAAGCCACAAACTACGACACTCACAGATGATCTGATTCGAGAACAACTCGGAGTAGTTCTACGAAACGAAATGGTGAGTATGGCACAACATGAGTTACATATCGCACCACGAACCTGGCTGTTCAAGTATGGCTCGGTGGGCTCGGATGAATAAAGCTGCAGACCCTTCCGAATACGTTCGCGCAGAACGTGGCAAGCCGGATTCGCCTTCATGATTTTCGCCATTGCCTGCTGAATGAGAGGCTTCATACCGGGGAACCAGTTACCGTACGCGGACCAGAGATTATACGCGAGATCCATGCCAATCATGACACCAGTCGGTGATGGGTAAATACTCATAGAGTCTGAGATCTGCGATACAGATAAATTATTTGTACTGAATATTGTAGTGCCAAAATGATGACTCACATAGTCAAGGAACTTGGCACGAGTGTATCGTTCTATATCATGAGTATCGAAGTCACCCCACCTGAGCTGCACGTCGATCCAATACTTGTTGCTTGTAGTGCCATCAAGAACATCTTTGCTCTGGACGAGAACAAATCAGACTTGTGCCATCCAAGTCACTGATAAACGACCCACATCCGTGACAAGTGATGGTCTCGAGATGTTCCACTGGTAAAATAAATAAAAACTCTGAGCAACCTGATCAAAGGAGCCATCGTTTAACGTACCTTGTATGCAGAGAACAGCAGGATATCAGCACAAGAGGAGTTCATCTTGTAACTCTTACGAGGGTGAATTGTTTCCTTTTGCACCGTCTCGATCTGAAGCGGTTCAAGTTCCTGATCGAAGACTTGACACTGGACAGCAAGTCAGTTTATGTAGCAATATATTGTCCATGTTGAACTCACCAAATCCATGACGACACTCTCGTGAACTGATCAAACTGAGTCAGTATTTATTATGTTCAAAACTTCTGACGTACTCTTCTGCCACAAGTGAGCACGGAAAATCTGAATAAGACTGATCTTCAAGGTGGGGATTTTACCGTGCCTGCGTCGAGAGTAAAGATGTATATAGATATGACCTAGGACGTTGGACTTACATGAAGATACCTGTCAAATCGAGCTGGACTTGGAAACCGACATAGACATTTGCTCGATTGATTGTCGGACTCCACCAGAGCGTGAATCGACGGTTAGGAATCTGATTGAGACCAGATCGCTGGGCATTCGTGAGCTTCTTATATCGCATAGACTCCTCGAAACCAGAAGCCTTCTCCCAGAACAGACCTGTAACGGCATATTAACATAGGCGACAGGCAGACCTTCGCATAAACTTACCCTCCCATGTCGGGAAGTATGTCCCCTTGAAAAGCGTATGCTCAAGGATACCTTCAACACCACCCAGCGCAGCGATGACATCCACGCGGTAGTTGTTGAGCTGCCAAAGCTTTCCATCGTGTCGTTGTGACGTCCACCAGAAGGGATTGCTGGGAAGTTGCGCGTTAGTCATCAATTACAATATCTACGAAAAAATTACTTACTGCTTGAGCAACTGATATTGCTTCCAGTCGGTTCGTACACGCCATCCACGGTCGTACGCCAGTCTGCGAGGAGATAGATAAGCTTGGATATTACAAACCTGAGAATGCACTTACGTATGACGGTCCTTCTGGAACAACGTGTTGATTCTAGGAATACCACGATCCCAGCTATCTTCCAAATCCTCCAGAGTCAGACGACGGTTCTGCGCGTTTGCCTCCTTCCGCTTCATAGAATACTCGGACCACACGCGAGCCGAATCCAAAAACTCCGCTTCCCAAGGCTGCAGATAACGGTACAAATTGGGGATGAGCTGATCTTCCTCATGCGACATACCCGCCCGGAAGTGCGTAACTAAAAGTCGCAAGTCAGTGCCATTGCCAGCGGTGTGGAGTTGCATCACAATCACTAACCTCCAACGTCAGTCTGTTTCGACCATCGGAGATCACTCTGCGGGATCAAGACGTGACCCATGGAAAGCATACCAAGACCTCCCAATTCCTGACAAAGATATTAAAGACTTGACGTGACTTAGGGAGGAACCAACTAACCTTGGGCGTATAGAACACCACCGGCGGGAAACGCGAAGGCATTTTACTATTAAGCCCAATCTTGACACGAGTCTGGATCTTGTTCTCCGCTTTGACGAGAGCGTCCAACAACTCAGGTGTATGAATAACAGCCTCGCGATAATACGTCATGAGCCCAATGAGCGCGGTGTTCCACTTATTGACGATCTTTGAGAAAGTGGTAGACCCCGAACTCATCAAGACCTGACGGATTCTGTTGTTGAACTGCTGTACACCTAGAAAGCAACACTGTCAGTCTATGACAAGTACAAGTATTATATAAACTGACCATCATCTGAGACCCGCAGGAACGCCTGCGCTGTACGCTCCTTGCTCTGCTCGTTCGTCAAATTCCATACAGCGTCTTTCAATGAGAACTGTTCGCCACCCATCGTCCGGATCTTCGGCAGAATTCGAACCTCAAACCCGCACATGGAGAAGAGGAGCTGGGGATTTTCCTTCGAGTACACGCTGACAAAAGTGTCCTCCCACTCGATTGTTGTCAACGACCGAGGCAGACTCTGCTTGACATTCCAAAATACAGCGCGGCCCAAGTTAACGTCGTGCTTGATCAATCGCATACGGCAATCTCGAGGCCAGCAACGCTTGTTGTTGTACCCAATTACGTTGTTGTTCGTCGGATCTGGGTTGGCACTCAAGTAGCGTTGGATAAGATCCCTGGACTCCTCCGCAGTGAAGCGGAAGAGGATATGAAGCCGATCGACGTAGCGAGAATACAGCCGAATGGGATGACGGGTCTCAGTGGCCGAATCACGGTACTGCAAGAAATTATTCGGCATTTGAGGGGGACCTGCCATTTCGCTTGCACGTTGCAATCCCAAAATGAGGAGATCGAGGACGAGACCATAGTACTGGAAGACAAATGCGGAAAATTGCAGACCTCGAATAAGACCATACGCGTTCGTGTGCGCCATATCTTAAATGGAAAAATGAGGATATCACACTTAAAATCATAGTGGTATAAACTGACCCTTGTACGTCAAGACGGTATTGTTCTTTGCTGTGATGTAATCCGCAAGATTGTGATCCAAGATCAGGCGAAGAAGACGATTGAGAAGCGTCAGATCGATCTTCTCATATACCTTCGACAACACCGTCTCCATGAGCACGTTACACTCGCCTTCACTCGTCTCCCAAATGTCTGTCAAGTTGTTGATACCCTGACACCACTTGTACACCAAGAGCGGGGGCGGCTCTGTATCAGCTGGCTTGATCCAAGCGGGGAAAAGACCGCGTTTGTCAGCCTCGAAGAACAAGAATTGATCCAGATACGCATCAGTAATCTTCTCTACCGGCTCGATATCATAGCAAGGAATGAGCTTGTCGTAAGTGTCGAAGAACTCAATTCCAGACTCCTTGAATGCTCGCTGTGTAAGCAGTAGACGCTTGATACGAGACAGACACTCGTGTGGGTTGTCGTAAGCCTGTTCGATGAGCGCCAACTCCTCTCTCTGCGACTGGTTCAAACGACCCTTGACTGAGTACGCCTCCTTCAGTTTCTCGAGAGCCAACACGAGCAACTTTGTATCGTGCTTGTAGTTCAACGGAGGGAATGGAATGGGTGAGAACTTGCGGCTCTCGAGCCAATGAACCGTTGCCGTGTAGATCGCAACAGCCTCTTCCGCGCTAATGTATGGTCCGTCCTTCAGATAACCATGCTGTCTCTCCTGTTCAGCCTTGAGGTACAGACGAGTGAGACGTCCCAGATTCTTCTTCACCACAGCTTTGTCGACAGTCGCACCGCGGCGAATACGCTCACGGTTGTAATGAGCGACCGACGTCCACCAATCGGCCTTGCTCTTGATGTACCGCAAGATGATGTTCTCGATAGCCGTAGGCATACCCGGGACCTTCCACGGGACTACACGAAAGAAAAAAAAATTAACCCAGAAACAGGATTGGAAAGGCCCACTAACTGTTCGCCTTCCAGCATCGCCACGCTTCTGACAAGTGCTGAAGGATGGTCTTCGACTTGTTCTGCTTGATCGACTCGGGCATCATGTCCAAAATATCATGCATGACAGCAGCACGCAGTTCAAGATCATAGTGCGACTCGACTCGCTGCTTCGTCACCGTTTTTGCAATACCTTTACTGTTACGACCTTCGAATTGACGGGCGAGCAAATTACCAAGCCTGTGGGGAAATCATTAATACAAGATAACGATGATGTGTACAGCCATACGAACCATCTCTCCAGCAGAGGTACGATCCCACGCATGAAGAACAACCATACACGCCATCCCGGTGCCCAAATACCGCAACCAGGACCCTTGCCGACAGGACCGGTGTTGAAGCGATAGTAGATGAGATGCTTGAGATCCTTCGTCATGCGTACCTGCCTCATCAGCTGAAAAGGCGACGAGTCAGTAAAAGAGAAATTAACCGTAACTTTCTACCCCATACCTTGTACTTGTATCGATACATTCCAGTCAGGGCACCAATATGCGCAAAGATGTACTGAAGCGCATCTGCAAGCTGGAACGCGTCCACGTTACCCAATCGATACTGGACATGCGCATCCACCACGAGCTTCGTCAGACGAAGTATCTCACGACACAAATGGAATGCATTTCCGAAACGAGACTTCTTGCGTTCTTTCGTCGTCAGCGTCTTCACTGGCTTCAAGTTCATGTTGTAATCCAGGTGCAAGTAGTTCAAATTCTGACAAATTGAAAATATTAGCTGAAAATCAGGCTCATTCAAGAGAGAAGAACTGACCTTGCGGTGAATGAGTAAGTTCAACATGTTGTATCCTTGCCTGCAGACCTGCAAACCGGCCTCGACCCAATCAAGCCGTGTCGTCTGGAAGAACTTCGTCGCCTTCAACTGCCGGAACAAATTCTTCTTCGTCATTGCCTTCTCCGGACGCGTCTTCAGCTCGTTTAACACATAACATTTGAGGAGCTTTTGGTATGACACGCGGACCTTGACAGGCTGCCCAGGTGGACAGTGCTCGAGGTACCAATTCTTTACGAGCGGAATGTCTTGAGCGCGACGCATGCGACCCGACCTACGGCTATAAGGATCTGGGGCCCACCAGAGCGCAATTGCGTCGGCAGTCAAATCGTTCTCGAGAGACTTGTCATCAAGGAATGGCTCAACCTCCTCAGGCAACTCGAAGTCGTCGTCGTCAGCATCGTTTGGACCAAAGACAGAGTCTTCATGTGATACAAGAGGTGCGTTCTTTGGTGTGAATCCGCGCAGTGAGATAGGATTTATGAGCGGGTCAAAGTAGAAAGCGGGAAGATCGGGATCGTCCGTGCGAATGTAGACGCTCTTCGGCGTGTGATATGGGGATATGTGCACCGACCTCGGCAAGGAGTTGTAGAGATGAGGAAATGCTACCTTGTACTCCGTCCGAATCTGCTGACGAATGATCACCTTGTTGATATCGTTGAACTCATTCCAATCCTCGTCGAATGTATCCATGTCCCTGTATAATGGTTCGAATTTTGGTCCACCGGGAATGGCCATGTTGAGCGCCTTAGCAGTGAAGAACGACTTCTTATCAAACAGATAGCTCGAGTTGCCGTCTGTGTGGTCCGACAAAAGCGTCCTGCCTAAACGATACAGATTCGCCATGACGGGTAGCGTCAGTGACCAATACTTGTACGACGACCCGTTGACGTGTGGGGTGTCAATGAGCGGTTTCGGGTCGTAGAACCACTCGAAGATCGCTGAATCTTCCTCCTCGTCTAGTTCGAGCTGAATAGCCTCCAGCGGTTCGACGTCCAGAACATTGTCTCCATAGTCGAGCGGCGGTTCCTCGTCGTCGAATGGAGGAAAGCGCATGCGCTTGAAGTGTCGTCGATCTCGCTTTTCCCTCCGCATCGCAAGCCACATGCTACTCCATTGAGCATGATAGACAGGCTCTATCACGCGCGGTATTTCGTTCACAAACGTAATGGCACCCGTGATGTGGTACAGCACCGGCACCTCACGAACTTGCTCCCAAGGGTAGGGAATATTCTCCAGTAACTTCATGACCGCATGGGGGACATATTTCAGCGCACCCAAATGTACGCGCTTGTCGTTGCGGAACTTGCGATTGCTCATGTCACCGTGGTCCTTAATGATTTTTCGGACGTGCTCAGGGGGGAGATCCTACGCGAAAATGGGTGTAAGCACGCGATGAGCCACCTCTAGACACGTACCTGTTTTCCCATATCTACATAACCCCCCTTTCTCTTTTCGCCGTACCGCTTCCTCTGCATCTGGATCCACTTCTGCGATTTTTGCGCGAGCATTTCGGGAGGCATTCTTGACCCTTGAGGATCGCTCATACCAGGTGGAGGAGGCATCCCTGGAGGAGGAGGCATTC